GGGGCGGGCGCGTTGCCATGGCGCCGGCGGGCCGCGTGAATGGGGCATTGTTCGTAGCGGCGCCCGGGCCGGGCTGTCCCGGACCCACCCGGACCCACTCGAGCCGGCAGAGACTGGGAGACAGGATGGGGAGATACCGACACAGGGAGAGACAAGAGATGGAGAGGGAGAGACAAGAGATGGAGAGAGAGAGACAGCGCTGTAGATGGGGAAAGGGACTTAGAAGCTAAGAGAGAGACAGAGATGGGGAAATACAGAGATGGAACCGCGAGATGGAGACAAGTGCACAAATGAGGAAGGACAGACTGAGGGAAAGGACCAAAGAGAGGCAGAGCCGGGGATCGAGAAGGAAGAGCTGGGTGGGAGGCAAGGGCAGGAGCAGTCAGCCAACACCGACGGAGTCCACTGTGCCTGGCGCTGTGCCTGGCAACAGGAAGAGGCAGAAGACCAGGACCTCCAGACAAAGTCAGAAATGCTGAGAGGTGGGAAAAGACACTGCCATAGAGAGACCCAGCGAGAAGGAGGGTCAGAGATACCTAGGAAAGGAATGAAGAAAATGCTCTGAGAGCCTCTGGTGCCAGCCACCTCGGTCCTTTCTTCTCTCCCCTTTGGACAACATACCTTCCCTGGTTATACCCTCCCAGAAGGCACACCTCTGTCCTACACATCTTCACACACCAACTGACAAGGCATCATTGACACAGGGACCCAGTCTTAGGGGACACCACTCCAGACACTCCGACACTCTCATGGACACAGTAACACCCACAGATATACCCACTGATGCCCAGTGACATAGCCATATGACAGGGACTCCTACCCCACACCAGAGTGACTCTTACAGTTATGGATAAGACCATATAGAAGCACCGTGACACAGGGACCCTGCCAGACATGTATTCCCAGTAACATGCGGCCATAAACCACCACACAGGCTCACACTCCATGGGAACACTATCATATGTGGCCACCCCAGACACACGGTGCACCCTCACACATGCACAGATGTTTCCCTACACTCACTGACACCTTCACAGACACGTAAGTGCCTTCTGCCCAATCTGACCCTCTGACTGAGCATCTTGTCCCCTGGTCCAGATTGGTGTCTTTGGGGATGCTGGGTCCAGTTCTCCGTCACTAGCTAAGATTGGGAGGGGTGGGGAAGGAGGTGAAGCCCTGTTCCTCTCCCGCTCAAAGGGCTGGGTCAATCCAGGCCAGGCTGGTCCCCTAACTCCTCCGTGTCTAGGTCAGCTTGGCCGAAATCTGGACCAAGGGTGTCCCCTGGTGGCCATGTGTGGTCTCTGCACCCATCAGGTTGGAGTGTGGAGGGAGATGGTGGGCAGCCCAGGGGTCCGGCCTGAATAGAAAGGCAGAGAAAACAAGCCAAACTCAACACACAGAGCCCAGAGACCAGAAGCCAGGGTCCAGAAGCAAGAACCAAGACCCAGAATTCAGAGCCTGGAATCCGAATCCCAGAATCCAAAACCAGATCTCTGAATCCAGGATCCAAATCTAGATTCCCAGTTTCCAAGATCCAAGAACTCAGGACCCAGAATTTAAAATCCAGGTCCAAATGCCCACCGTCCAGAATCCAAAGAGCTTGATCCTATCCTCCAGAATCTAGAATCAAGGATCCAGAATCCAAACCCAAGAACCCAGAGCCCTGCCTTCCCCTATCCCCCACATTACAGCCTGGGCAGCAGCGGTTGGCTAGGGCAGGGAGGTGAAGGGGCAGGAGAGGAGCCCTGCAGTGACCACACAGCGCCTCTCCCAACTGCAGCACCATACGTCTGCCGACACATACACACTCACTCACACACTCAATGAGATGTTCCACACAGACCCATACGCCCAAATATACAGCCTGTGACCATCAGATGTACAGCACTACACATCCTCAGATACATATGCATGATCACACACACACACCATCACCCAAAGACACCCGAAACTACCATAGGCTCCTCTCCCAGCACAGGGACACGTGCTCCTCTGGGTACCCACATGATCTCGAGCTGCCCCCCACCTCTGGCCTTCCCACCAAGCTCAGATACACAACCACCACACCCAGAGACACACAAACACACAAAAACCCAGGACTCTCAGCCCTGCACGCAAATAAGCTGACAGAACTGTGGAGGCTGGCACGCACGCGCACGCACACGGACTCCCCCAAGCACAGAGAAGCCCCGTGCCTTGGCAGCCATGCAGCCCCTGGGAACCAGACCCCCGGGACGGGGCTCACCGCGCACCCCCGTGCCCACCCCAGCCCTCCCCCGCATGGCCGGCTGGCGGGCTTTAATACAGATGCCAAACTCATAATTGTAACTGAGGGTGACAGGGTCACCTTGAGCCCCAGATGCTCGCGCGGTGACAGATGGCGTTGGCAAACCTGATTATCAGCCCCTGTGCCAGCGCCTGTGGCACCTGCATCCCCACCCCTCCCCCGCTCCCCCAGCACTCATTACCCACCCATTACTGGGCCTGGGGGGTGGGGGTGGGGGCCGGCTGGCATTGCCCGGGAGGGGGCAGGGACTCCTGGGGCCCCCCTGGCACCAAGGTTCCCAGCTGGCTCCCCGGCTGGCAGGAGGTGGGCACAGCTGAAGTGGGGGAAGCAGGCGCCTCATGCCTGCCAGAGAGAGGGGTGCCCGCGGTGCCAGGGCTGAGCTGCCCACTCGGACACTGCTTGAGGTTGGCACAGAACCCTGGAGGCAGGAGGGAGAGTACCCCCCAACCCACCTCCGTGGGTCCCTTGTGGCCCTCCCCTACCTAGGGCCCTTGGAGCAGGGCCTTGGGAGCTGCCTGCCTGGCCTGTTCCCATTCCTCTGTGCAGGCCTGTGGGGTCAGAGGTCATGGGCTCCCACGCCCCGCTAGCCCATCTGTTTCCTCGGGTCCCCTCCTCCTGTTCCCCTCACCTGGGGCCTTCCTTCCTGAGGCAGGAAGAGGACTAAGGGGGGCCTGGCCAGCCCCCGCCCCGCGCTCCGGGGGGCATTTGGAGGCAACCCTGACAGCGCCACATGTCCCTGCGTCTGTGCCAGACGGGCCCATCTGCTCGGGCCCTGGTTCCAGCCGCCCAAAGCCTGGCTGCCCTCATCCACTGCAGACCTGCACCCAGCTGAGGAAGGAGCACCCCAGTGTCCATGCTCCAGCACAGGGCCACCCACTCCCAGGAAACCCCAACTGGAGAAACACACACACACACACACACACACACACACATACACAAAACTAGACTCAGCCAAACTTTATGGTTCCTGTAGATGCCACACTGGGCTTGGGGCTGTGTGGAGACTCAGGGGGTAGGTGGGACTGGAGGGGATGCTGGGAGCATGTGGGTCCTGCCTCTGACTTGGGGAGCCTAGGTTTCCCCCAGCACCTCTTGGTTTCTTTCCCCTGCCTTGGTTTCTTGGGATCCCTAGGACAGGGTC